TTCTGGTATTCATCCCATCTGTTGGATCGCCAATAATGTTGTCTGAAGGATGATTTTTCTGAGTTCTGGTGGGCTTTTTCTTACCCACATTATCAACGAGATACGTCTCTTGTTCAGAACTTTGTTGATCTTCATCTGATGAATCTTGAGTTTTGGATCTGGTGTCTTCAGCCGTGTCTAACTCACTAAGAGGAGGTTCTGTCTCTGGTTCAGTCACTGATGCTTCTACAGATTCGTCAGGATAGTCATCTATAACAACATTTACTGATTCCATTACAGATTGAGTTCTTTCGTTGTAGACTCGATAGGCTCGACTGTTTGGAGAGTACCCCAGGAAGATACCCTCATCACTCATAGGTTCAAACTTCCTCATTTGTTCCCTATCGATCAGCACATAACACTTTGTCCCAAACACATGAAAATACTTCAAGTTAGGCTTATTCTCCTTCCAGATCTCATATGGCGTTTTGGACGTACTTGGTCTCAGGTAGACTCTATTCACTATATGACATGCAGTGTGTACTGCTTCAGCCCAGAAACGTTGTGGTAGATGAGATGCATGTAGCATAACTCAAGCCATTTCCTGCAAGGTTCGATTCTTTCTTTCCACCACACCATTCTGTTGAGCTGTTCTGGGAGCTGAGAATTCATGGGCTATACCATTCTCGGAGCAGAAATCTGAATATAAAGAGTTTTCAAACTCTTTACCATGATCACTTCTTAGTCTCTAAATTTTTAATATAGGCACGTTCTTTTCTTTTTGAACCCTTATGCACAAGGTTCTAAAAGCATTGAAGGCTTCAGATTTTTCTCTTAGGAAATATACCCAGCTGAATCGAGAGAAGTCATCTACACACACAAATATGTATTTCTTTCCACCAATACTTTCAGTTTGTGTTGGTCCCATAAGGTCTATATGAACCAGTTCTAGGCATCTTTCGATAGTAATAACTTTTACTGCTTTGTGAGGAGTTCTTATTTGTTTCCCAATGGCACATGCACCACACACCCCTTCTTGTTCTATTCTGATCTTAGGTATCCCTCGCACAGCATCCAGTTTGATCATTTTATCCATGTCTCTGTAGTTTATGTGACCCAGTCGTCTATGCCAAAGTTTTGATTCATCTGATTTTGATAGGCGACAAGCATTTTCATTAGTCAGTACATAACAGTTGTCAGAGGATTGTGTTCCTTCCATTACCCGTTGATCTGCTTTATCCCTGACTCTGCAACCGTTACGATTGAAGCACACATTCCAATTTTGATCACACAACTGACTGATGCTAATAAGATTTGCTTTCAGACTACTGACTAATAGAACTTCTTCTAGATGGGGTAAGCCTGGTACATTTAGGGTACCTTTTCCAACTATTTTCCCTTTTTGTCCATCTCTATATGTAACTGATCCAGTGCTAGGTTGAACAGCCATAAGACACTTGACATTTCCTGTCATATGTCTAGAGCACCCACTGTCGAAATACCATCTTGCTTCGGTTGTAGAGGCGGTCAGAACTATAGTGGGGTAGCATATTACTTCTGACTTCCTGACCCAAACTTGTCTTGTGAACGGTGTAATAGTCTTGTTCTGATATTTCTCCTTCCTTTGGTCTCTGTAGAAGAAGTAACACTCAGGTCGAGTGTGACCTTTTGTTTGACAGTAGTGACAGATGGGTGTATATTGTCAGATTCTAGCAAATTTAGCTTTGAACTTTGAGTACTGAGATTGAAATGCCACTCTGCCAAAATCATTTTCTGCATGTGTCTTCCCTTTTTCCTTTATCTGGACTGACCGGGATGACTGTCCTATTTCATACCTGCGAGCTGGTGTATCAATTGACGTACCCTCTTTGACAAACACAGGAATAGTTTTCGAAGATTCTCCTCGTTTATAACCAAGACCCTTTTTGTCATTTGGATTTCGTCCAGAATCCAGAATTTTGTCTAGAGTTGATGTGGTGTCCATCATCTTTATGTTCTTCTTCAGATCCTCCAACTCTTTTATTAGTTTTCCTTCTCGAGTTCTTATCTGAGTTATAAGATCTTCTTTTGTGACAAGTTCTGTGTTCAGTTTCTTCAGAAGATCATCCCGTTGCTTTAGTTCTTCATTCAGATTTTTATTAACTTTCACCAGTTGCTCCCAGCTTGCAACAAGTTTAGCAAATTCCATCTCAAGTTGAGTATGCCTCACTTCAAAATCATCTGTCGAAATATAGGACTCTTCATCAGATTCATTTTCTTCGGACTGGTTTTCTGTAGCTGAAAAGAAAGCCACAAATTTTCCCACGTTGTCATCTAACTGACCATTAGATGCTTCCTCCTCATCATCACTTAGTGTAGCCACAATCATAGCATTTTTTCTTTTGAGATAAGTTGCACATTCACCCTTTATGTGTTCAAATCCTTCACACTCTCGACACTGCACTGACCGGTTGAGAGACCTACCTGTGTCAGTCGAACTGCTTTTGGGTTATCTTGGTCGGCCAGTTTGAGACTGATTGTTCTGATATGAGGAGTTACTACCTTTGTATTGTGTCTTGTTAGGTTGTCCTTGACTCTTTCTGTTAAAGCCTTTCAAGATCTTCTTAAAGTTCTTGGTTAGTAGGGCCAATGCTTCATCATCTATGTCATCTATGTCTGATTCTCGATCAGCTTCAGCAACAAAAGCCACTGACTTGCCTTTTCTGTTGATAGCAGGGTCATCATCAGCCAGCACTTCAAGTTCATATGTGTGTAAGCTTCCCATAAGCTCTCCCACACTCTTCTTTTCCTAGCCTGTGTGTTCCTGAATTGCGGTTACTTTCATTCGAAAGCGTTTTGGCAAAGATCGAAGGATCTTTTTGACTACTCTTTCATCAGTGAATGGTTCGCCGAGTATTGAGGCTCTGTTCATCAGATTTTGAACCCGACTGTGAAAGACTGAGATTGTTTCCTCTTCGCTCATTCTAAGGGCTTCAAACTCAGACAGAACCATTTGAAGCTTTGATTGCTTCACATCACTTGTTCCCTCAAACCTGGTTTCAAGAATTTCCCATACTCGTTTTGCTTCCTTTACCGCAGTGACTAAGGTAAACACAGATTCATGCAGAGATCCTACAATAGAGTTCAGTGCTTTATTGTTCAGGTCAGAGGCCGTCATCTCATTTTCCGTCCAAGTCTCAATAGGTTTTGCCGTAGTGGTTCCATCAGGGTTCTGAATAGTTGGATGGCTCCATCCAGAGAGAACAGTACGATAAACCCTGGTACCTTGTGCCTCAAGATAGATCTCCATTCGAGCATTCCAGAATGAATAGTTGTGACCATCCAATTCTGGTGGTTTCATGTTTGCATCCATCCTGAATAAAAACAACCAGCCAAAAACACACAAGCAGGCAGACTGCCAACCGACAACCAGTGACACTTCCAGTAAAAAGAGAGCAATGTAAATGCAAAAACTCCCCGTACGGATCAAGTCACTATGTAGAATTAAAAGCTCTGATACCACATGTAATTTTGCATTTTCTCAATTTAATAATATTAATTAAACGACTGACGAATTAGTCTGACAGATTCAGCGATGATATCAGTCAGATAGTTGAAACACTAATTAGCTTGCGGAAAGAATAAACTAAGGCAGACAGCGAAAAGAACAACACACAAGATGTTTACCCAATTCGATACAGTGTGTATCTACATCTGGGGGACGATCACATAGGCGTCCAATCCACTAACAAATAATCCAATGTACAAAGGTAGAGAACAGTAATCTCACCCAAGTGCCCCACACATGGTACATACCCAGTCTTCACTAATTTAGTGGATTGTTGAAGATGGAGAGTTGTGCATACAGAAGTCCAACGAAATCCCTTCACTTGGAGAGCTAACTCTGATGCAGTCCACTTCAATGACGCAATCCAACGTTGTTTCCACAACTGTGTGATCTTAGCGTCCTTTTCGTTTAAGCAACGATATTTCTTCTCAAGTTCTTCATCATAATCAACAAGAACGAATTGTCTTGAGAAGAATCATGATAATCAAAGATGTGATCTCTTAGTATATGTCGGAGTGTTTCTTTCTTCTCAAAAGCGTAACCCTAATTCTTGATCGAATAAGAGTATTTATAGTTCCATAATAAGAACACTCTCCATAGATATCTCTGATTGTAGATGGTAGGACGATATAAGAAGAATGTAATCTTAAAGATCCGGTCCATACCTTTCCAAGACAGATACGCTGATCTTCTTTCCAAAACTGACTTCTTAAACCGCGTTCTGTAAAAAGGAAACATCTTCTTAAAACAGATCTTCAGTGTCAGTCCCTCTGTTGCTATATCTGATCAATCAGTCCTCTGTAGAACAAACCGACACCAAGCTAACCCTATCTTAGTTTGCCATAATAATATTGCCAATTATATGTTGGGTTTTTTGAGCAATTAAAACACTAACAGAGTTGATTCATCACGAGAGTGGGGAAATTCCTTGTTCTAGTCCTTGTTAATTTGCTCGCGTGAGTGACTTATAGACTAGGTTTCCTATGTGCATCCCCTCTATTCCTTGGTTGTGTGATTTTCACCAATCCTTAGGTTGCGCTATGCATCTAGAATATAATGCTCCCTAGCTTGAGTCCTATTTCTTTATTTCGTGTTTACATCTTGTTAATATGTGTTTGTGTTACTTTGTTTAGTTACCATAGCCTCAATCTCGTTATGATTTGCTTAGCTTCTTGTTGGTTTCCTTATGCATGTGCCTAGTTTATTGCGATTGCATATTGCGTGCCATAACCCCCAATCTCCCGAGGACGACATTACACACCCGAGCTCACATCTTATTTTTGCTACATCAAAAATTGGCGTCGTTGCCGGGGATTGGAAATTTGGTGGTTCTATGTGATTACTTGTTTGACTAGCATTGGAGTTTCGGGAATTTTAGGAGACTAAGCTTTTATTTTTTGTTTTGTTTATTTGTGTTGTGGTTAAGTGCTTACAAGTCTATATCTTTATGTTTGATTGAAAGAGATTTTCAAAGATGGACCAAGGAGGATATTACAACTCTCAATCTTTTGGAGGCTTTGGAGACTACATGCCTCAACAAGGATACTATAATGTTCCATCCTTTAATCCTTGTACACCTCAAGCCCCACCTCCAAATAGCTACCATGATGCTCAATTTCAAGATCCTTACCCACCACAATCCTACCAAGACTTACCTTGTCATTCCCAACCTCCATGCCATAATCCATATTCTCAACAATACCAAGATCCTCAATATGATTTTTATGATCAACACCCTCAATTTTCACAAGACTACTATCCACCTCAACATCCTTTCCCACCACAAGATTACTCTCCAAATCCATACCCTTCACCCATTCATTACACACCATACCCCCGAGACACGCAACCCCCATATGATCATCACACCCATTCACCAAGTGTTGGAAAGTATGAATTAGATGAGGAGACTTTAGCATTGGCTAGGCGTTGGGGAGTCACTATTGTACCCGATGATTATATTGAGGATGAGGGCTATCCAATGCGACCAAGTGAGGATGAATATGCCAATAATCAATGGGAACCTCAAGAACCACTCTATCAAGAACCTCAACAAGAATTCAAACCATTTGATCAAGATCCGGAGATGAAGTTCATGATGGCCAACATGCTTAAGCAAATGAATGAGCAACAAGTTCTACTAGGCAACATGATGGCTCAAATACAAGGGTTGACAACTCAAGAACCCGTTCAAGAATTGTCTTCCAATGTAGATGTTCTACAAGAGTTTCTCTTGCCAAATGAAGGTCATGTGGTTGAAGAAAATAAAAAGCGAGGTGAGGACAATGATGGTGAAGATGAAGATGATGAGGTCTATGATGAATGCATTGAGATGGAGACACCAAGTTGGGGAGAAAGTGTAGAGTTTCAAGGGAATGGGGATAAGGAACAACTTGGAGATGGTCCAATTGAAAAAGTGCTCAAGGAAGATGAAATTGATGAAATATATGGCACAAACAAGGAATGCCCTTCAATGGATGACACTCCCTTGGATGAGGACTTTAGAGTGATTTGGGAACCGGGAGGTGTCAATGTTTATCAAAGTGGAGGCCCCCATTGGCCAATCTTCATGTCCAAGGATTGTTCTTTCATTATAGTGCATGAAGAGGACCAAAGATTCTCCCTACTTGCTCTAGAAAAGAAAAATCAAAAAGAGGAAAAAAATGGAGATCAAGAAATGGATCAAGCTCATGGCTACTATCTTGATCCAAAGTTTAGGAAGAAATCCTTGGTTGATTTATGGATCAAGAAGGATTTGAGGAAAGAGGCATGAAGTTTGGAATGAAGAGAAATGGAATCCTAGCAAATGGTGTGCCGAACTTGATCTTAAAGGAATTTGTTGATGCCCACCATTTGAAGCACTATCTTGAGGATAAGTTTGCTAGGAAGGATGGAATGTTCTTTCTCCAATCCAATGATGTTTGAAACTTGAGAGGTTGAGTCGAGCTAGCGACGTTAAACTTAGCGCTTCATGGGAGGCACCCCATGTTATCTTTCATTTTATTGCACTTTACTTTTTTTTTTCTGTACACTTTTATTTTTGATATATCATGCTTTCACTTGTGCTTTCATGTATAAATTCTCTTGACTCTAGGTATGACACTAAGGAGTATGCTCAATTCCAAGAAGGCTTCATGATAATTCTTTGAGACAAGAGATTCATTGGGGGAGTCTCATCTACCTTCTCTACTTTCTTTAATTGTGCATAATGCTTTACTTTGTGTAGATAGTAGAGATTGTGTTCCTTGTGCTTATTGTGCTATCCTTCCCCCTTGTTCTTTGTTGTCTTTCACATCGAGGACGATGTAATTTCTAAGTGTGGGGGAGGACAAAAATTGGGAAATTTTTGAAATTTTTGAAACTTTGCTAGGATGACTCATTGTGCATAATGTTTGGTAAATTGTCTTTCCTTGCTTGAAGTTGTGATTACTCCCTCTTTGTTGGTTTGTTTTGGTGGAACTTGTTGCAATTCAACTTGTGATTGATGAGCCAAGGGGTAACTCATGATTGATCTATTCTCTTGCCAATACCCTTGTTAAAAACTTAATAATTGAATAAATTCTTGATCTTGTGTGTTATGCATTGCTAGTGAAGGCTTATGTGAGATTCCGGTCATGGTTGTTTTGCTAGAACTTGGCTCATTACTCCTCATGTGAAGTCTAAGGTTTTCATGTTTTGAAATGATTTAGGCCATTTTTGTTTAGCCCGAGCCTTTCAAGCCTACCCTTTACACATGTTTTTACCCCTAGTTGTCCCCGTTGAGCCATTTGTTTGTTTAATAAGTGCTAAGCACTTGTCCCTACTTTGTGATTGTTTTTCCTTGTGTTAACCCTCATCATTTAACCCTTAACCCCTAGCCCAAATGTTTCCCTCCACCCTTGAGAGAATAGAGAATTTATTATTTTTCGTTGAAGATATCTTTATTGGAGTTTGTTTTATAAGCAATCCTCTTGATAATTTTGCCTAAGTGTGGGGGTCTTGATTCATTGAATAAGTTTGTTGGTTGATTTGAAAATAAATGAAAAAATGATGATGAGAAAATTGAGAAAAAAAATCTTGAAAAAGAGATGAAATGAGAAAAATGAAAAGAAAAGGAAGAAGAATAAAAGTTTGAAGCTTGATTCTAGTTTGTGTTGAAAGTTGTACTCAACCCCCACCTCTTTAGAGTGTTGCTCTGTGTTCCATTGTAAATTGCTCCTTAGTTTGTATATGTCATATCTCTTCTAGCCTCAATTGTGAATAAATGTGAAATTCTCTCCTTTGTTTATTTTCTGTACCCCTTCATTGTTAGCCATTCACCCTTAGCCCCATTACAAGCCTAATAAAGACCTACTTGATCTTAGCATGCATTCTTAGAGTTGAGCTAGTGGGAGTATGAAGGGCAAGCCTATGAGATCTCATTCAAAGCCAAGTTTTGCATAATCTCAACTTAGTATTTGTGCACACTTGATCCTCACATACTTTAATAATTTTGGTGCTTGGTTATGGGCTTGATAATGGAACATGTGTGGAATGCAAAAATGATTCTTGAAACAAGTTGTGCTGTAACAAATTGGATTGTGGTTTGATAGGTTGTGCAAAGTGGGAGTGTGATCAATTTCATTGCTAGGATGGTGATTTATTTATTTATTGATCTTTTTTTTTTTCTTTTTTTTTTTTTTTTTGCTTGAGGACAAGCAAAGGTTTAAGTGTGGGGGAGTTGATAAGTGCTTATTTGTCTATTCCCCCCCCCCCCCCCCCCCCTTCACTAAGCCATTTTTCATATAGATCTTTCCAAATTTTATGAGATTAGGACTAAATTGTGTTATTTTGCAAGGAGTTTGATTTGGAAAGCATTGGAAGCAAAGATGAGTAATATCATGAATTTTGGTGGATATTGGAATCAAGTGGAGCATTATGGATACATTTAGAGTTCATGGGAGCAAAGGAAAAGCTAAGAGGAAGGGAAAAACACTTCCAAGGAAGCCTAAGGGTGGTGCATTCAATGGTATTGGTCATTTGAGCAAACCAAAGCAAAAGAGAAGCAAAAGTTCATGGAATTGAAATTCCCGACCTGCACGTCGACGTCATAGTCATTGGATCATATCTCGAGCTAACAATGTCCAATTGAAGTGATTCTTGTGTCATTGGAAAGCTAACTTGAAGGTCTACAACTTTGATTCAAGCACCAAAGGCTAATTCAAACGTTTAGAGAGTGAAAAATGACATAGAGGACAAACTCAGTGCACAGGCAGTGCACGCTGCCTTTTGGCCACGGGTCTGGCCACGCCCATGGCCACACCCGTGGCCACTAGGCAGTGTAAACTGCATTTCTGGCCACGGGTGAAGCCACGCCCGTGGCCACACCCATGGCCAGCCATCTGCAACTCATATCAGCTCATTTTTTTTCTCTTTTAAAAGGGGATTTTTGATCCCAAAAACACATCTTTCATTTCCCTTTAGATTAGTGTAGATTTAGGTTGTTTTTCATATTTCAAGCTTGTAATCAAGGATTCAACACCTAGATTCCAAGATTCGCCATCCATTTCTCAATGAAGTTTTCTTTCTCTTATCTCTTTCTTTTGCAAGATTTATGTTTAATGCTTATGTTTTTGTGCTCTTTATGCTATTTAATGATGAGTAATTAGTTTATGGGCTTGAGTTAGGGTTGTATTTTCTATCTTGATGCTTGATTTGTGATTATTGCAAAAAGGGGAAGAACACTAACCTAGGGTTCTTGAGTTTATGAAGGATTTGTGTTTGTATATTGTTAATGCTTGGTGTACAACTTTCATTGGCATGTTTTGGAGGATTCTTGGCCTCAATGAGAGTTGGGTCAAGATTCCAAGTCACTCCTTGCATAAACCCGATTTTTCCTATGAAAATGGGGAAAATGGGAAAATTTGGGGTTTTAGATGCTTTGTATTCTTGAAGAACTTGGAATTGATTCACCACGAGAGTGGGGCAATTCCTTTTTATTATCCTTGTTAATTTGCTCACGTGAGTGACTTATAGAATAGTATTCCTACGTGCATCCCCTCTATTCCTTGGTTGTGTGATTTTTCCCAATCCTTAGGTTGTGCTATGCATCTAGAAGATAATGCTCCTTAGCTTGAGTCCTATTTCTTTATTTCGTGTTTACATCTTGTTAATATGTGTTTGTGTTACTTTGTTTAGTTACCGTAGCCTCAATCTCGTTATGATTTGCTTAGCTTCTTGTTGATTTCCTTATGTTAGTGGCTAGATTATTGCGATTGCATATTGCGAGCCATAACCCCCAATCCCCTGAGGACGACATTACACACCCGTACACTCACCACATCTTATTTTTGCTACAACCAAAATTGATCGGGTGTGTAAAAATGGTGAAATCATTTATTCAGCATATTACTTACTGTCTTCCTCCTATTCACGCACATCCATCCTTGAGAGTAAAGTTTGGAGTACGTAGAAAATGGGAATACATATAAAATTTTCTATTCATATATTACAGCTCCTGCTATCATCATATCCCGTCCATCATTGCTCAAGAGTACGTACACAACATCCATCCATCCATGGCAAACGGTTAGCTGAAGATCGAAGCACCTCTCGATCATATCACTCCATGGCAAACGATAAGTATCAATGAAGTTGAGCTTCTTAAGATTTGGAAGAAAACTAGTTGTCCATGGGATGCCACTACCCGGAATACGTTCAAGATTTAGATCTTTAATGATTAGCTTCTCAAGTTGCCCAGCTGCACAAAATTATTAAAGTAAACTGGATTTTCAGAAAAGAGTCCACCTTGAATTTTCATTTTTTTTAATTCAAAATTTTTGTAAAGAGATCCCACGTACAAAGATGCAACCAAGTTATAGTCTCTAAGTGTCTATGAACAGCCTGAAGTTTTTAATGAAAAAGGAATTCCCTCAACATAAAAATTCCTTAACAGTGACATTTTCCACAAGGAAGGTCTCATGTTCGAGTCCATCAAGGGTCGGCATACTTTGTTGAACAAGAAAGAAAAAATATAACCACCATGACTTATTCACCAACTATGGAAAGTTAACAGACTCAGATGCCCCCATTTATTGAGTGAAAAAAAAAAAAAAAAAAAAAAAAAAAAAAAAAAAAAAAAGATGTCCATCAACAACATCTTCTGAGAGGCAGAAACGCAGTGCAGTTTACCAAAATATAAAATAGTATGCTTTGCAACAGAGTATTCTGCCAATTCAATTACCTACCTGCCTAATCTACCAAAGCCCGCATCCACAATAAACAAATGCAAAAACCATTATGCACTCATTCATTCATCACTCTCTTCCTCCTCTTCCCTGCAATTGATAAATTAAGTAATTAAATATGAAAAAAAAAGGTGAACACACTGCAGTTAGATAGGTAAGGAAATATGAGATAGAAGTGAGAGGAAACATATCAGATATGATGGCATGAAGAATTCAAGTAGCATGAATTGAAGTAAGTGCATGTTAAATGGTCACACATATAATATATTAGAGGGATTGAAAGAGACCTTAATATTTTCCGAACGAACAAGGAGGGTATTTCCATAGTTGTATTGCTCTTCTTGAATAAACTTTGCGGAAGCCAGAACGGAATCCCAACACCTGTTTAACTGAATCAGTGCTACTGTGGTGGTATCCACTAAACCACTAGGAATCTCTTCCAAAGAATAGCAATTACGTAAGTCCAAACATTCTAGCACAGGGAAATGGTCACCCACGGCATTCCAACGTTGAAAAAATACACCTTCAATTACCAATCTTTTCAATTTACGGAACCCTTCCTCGGATGGCTCCCATATTTTGTCTTCCTTATAAATAGCATGTTTCAGTTTTAGAACCTCTAGATTAGGTAACATACCAATAAGCCTCATATCACTCCATTTCAATTTAGTCAAGAAGAATTTGAGCTTCTTAAGATTTGGTAGAAAATCAGTTGCCCATGGGATGCCGAAACATGGAATACAGAGATCAAGCCAATTTTTAATGCTTATCTCCTCAAGCTGCCTCAAGTGCACAAAATTATAAAAAACAATCTAGATTGTTTCTATTGTATCCATTATAAATCTCCAATTTTTTTTTTTTTAATTTTGGAATCCTTGTAAACAGATCCTTTGTACAGAGCATAGGATCTAACCAAGATATAATCTCTAAGTTTCTATGAACAACTGACAAAGTTCCTAATGAAACAATATGTCCAATGCAAATATTACTTAATAGTGGCATTTTCCAAATTCCAGATGCCTCAAAGGAATGGAATGTAGCATCAGCTCCACGAACAATAAAGCTTTGCATATTCAAATGCTCAAAGAGCTCTAAATCAAAATATTGGGTGGAAGCATATGTTGAATACCTCAAAGCTAAGTACATCAAATGAATAAGATTTGCAAGCCCATATAGTACCCCATATCCATGGTAAGATTTACATACTATGTCTACTACTCTTAGTAGTTTGAAGTGTGAAAATAGATGTTCCACACTTACAGAGTAATAAGAGTAGAAAGAGTGAAAGGAATGTGATTTGTGAAAGCACTTTGTCAAAGGAAGTAGATCAAACCCAGATGTAGCACTTATCCAATGACAAGAGATTTTCTTCTTGTAAAATGGAAGTTTTTCATCTCCAATGACATTCAAGAGATTTTCATGTCGAGCTTCTCTCAAACACAAATCACGCAACAAGTCATGTATTCTTACTGTCTTCATTTTCCCATTGTAGCTTTGTTTGCTAACAAAAACAAGACTTCTACCAACAAGATCTTGCAAGCATTCTATGGCCACTTCCTCCATATTTCGATGGTCCTCTGCCCTCAAAAATCCCTCTGCCGCCCACAACCTAGCCAACTTCTTCACATTGATCTCATAGTCTTCGAGAAAAACTCCAAAATATAGAAAACAAGCTTTTAAGTGGTGTGGTAATTGGTTGTAACTCAAATAGAGTATTCTGGAACATGCATCATTAGAATCACCAATTACATATCTACTTACATTTTCTGCAACACTACTCCACTTCTCCACTGTCACTTCTGTCTTAGCGAGAAGACTAGCTATTACAATAACAGCTAGAGGTAATCCATTACATTTCTTCACTATCTCTCTACCAATTTGCTCAAACACTGAAAGAAATTTCGTTTGACCAAACACATTGCAGTAGAGATTCCAACTTTCGTTCGCATCTAAGAATGACAAGTTAATGGTAGAGTTACCTGAACTTGCATATTCAGCCACCTCCCTGAGCCGAGAAGTCAATAGTATACGACTTTCATTATTATCATCTGGAAAGCATCTTTGCACACTATCCCAAGCAGTAGTGCTCCATATATCATCCATCACTATGAAATATCTCTGTTCCTTCAAGTGTTTACGTAAACGGTCTGCTAATGGCCTTCGTTGCCATTGCTGCTTTGTTCATCACTTGATGCACTAACACAACCAACAAGGCATTGGAGCATTTGTGATAGCTTATGCTCTTGAGATACTGTAACCCATGCTCGTATGTAAAAATGAGAAGTAATTGATGAATCTTCATAGACTTCGCGAGCTAAAATGGTCTTGCCAATTCCTCCCATGCCTACAATTGACACAATTTGTAGCTGTTGTGCTGATTGTCGGGTGAGCTGATCCATTATCGTCTTGAACTCCTCGTTGCATCCAACCATTCTACTGTCAAACTTTATTGAAGTGTTTTTGGAAAATTTACTCACAGTAATATTATTCTCGCGTTCTGGGTCAGGCTGTGATGATGTTGAACCAAGGAGTAGTCCTATTTGTCGCATCCGACCAAGGAGTGAAACACTAGTGATTGATGGACCCTTTGCAAAGTGGCGTTTACATTTAATCTTAATCAGCTTCTTCTTGAGGTAATCAGTCTGTTTTACTGCTTGCTTGAAGATTCCATGAAGACTGATGAGGAGGCAAGCGTCCTCTATACTGCTTGGTTGAAGAAGATATTTGCTACTCAATTCCATCTCAATCCTTTCTTCGGCTTTGAACGCTATATCTCTCATCCCTGCCTCTAAACGTTTAATCGCCGAATTACCATAGACGATCTCAGATTTCTCAAGGACTTCTTGGAGGAAACCAAGATTTTCATGGAGAGAAACTATTTGCTGTTTGTGTTGAAGAGGGAAGCGTGGTTCTGACTGCAAGAAATGTAGATATATATAGTGTTCCTTTAAGCGAAGTTACAGCAGCATAAGCCATTTGAGTCTGTGTATGTGGTAAGCTGATCGATGATCAGAGCAGAACAAACTAAGAAGAAATGAAAGATGTGATACAATCAATTTAGACAGCAATTCTATCGTCAGCGCTAAAGTCTACACAACTGGAATTAGTGGACAGTAGTTAGCGCGTTTTCTTTTTAATTAAATTACAAAAATATATTTACATGCGTCAAGTTTTTATGGACCATATTTTTTTTCTTAATTTTTGAATCAAAATTATTTAGTTATTTTGTTTTAATTAACATATATATGACTAATAATGTTACTATCATTATCATAACCAGTGTTGCAAAAATCGCGCTAGGCGCTAGGCGGTGGGAGGCCGCCGCGAGGAATGGCCTCGGCGGCCTCCTCCGCGGCCGGCTAGGCGGCCGCATAGACCGCCTAACCGGCCGGTTCAGGGGATTTTTAAAGGCATAACTTTTAACTCGGTTGTTCGATTTGGACAAATTTTTTTTTCAAATCGCGTATTTTTTCAAAATGCTTCTTTAGCTCTAAATTCTAGTTTTTTATGTAATTAGATGGTTTAAACAATCTTTTGAAAAATTTTACAAACACTTTCGTAAATAGTTTCTAAGAAATAACTATGGAAACCTTATGTTTTATTACTAAATTTTGAAAAATTTGAATTTTTAATTGTATTTTTAATTTTAAAAAAAATTAAAATAAATAAATAAATAAACAAATCGGCGCCTAGGCGCCCCCTTGCCGCCTAGGGGGCGCCTAATATTTTTTGCAACATTGATCATAAGTTATATATTATGATATTTATGTGGATTGAAGTTGGTTTATGTGGCTAAGGTCTTTGTAATCAAACCCCTTGCAATTTTGATAAAGATTAGGCTGATGTGAGTTGCCCGCAGACGTAGGAGTTTAGCTCCGAACTGCGTAATCATTTGTTGTGTCCCTGGTTTTGATTTTATTTTCGAACAATATATTAATTAATGGTAAGTTAATTTGATAATTAAAACCAAGTATAACTATAGGTTTCAACTTGCATTCAAGACTCATGGATCAATTTGAATTTGTATCAAACCTCGGAGACTTAAATTATTAGTCTATCGATTTTGTTGTTTTGTTCAATCTCACGGTGTTCTAAGTGTTTCAGGATGGATCGATATAAGCCCCCTCCTCAGTTATCAAGTGATAACTACGTCTATTGGAAAGCCCGAACCAGAACTCATCTTAAAGCTCAAGGAGAACATGTTTGGCGTTCTATTTTAACAGGATGGACACATCCTACCAAGGCTGGAGCAACTGCAGATGATCCCCCAGTAACAAAACCTGAAGTAGAATGGACTGATGCTGAAATAACCGACGCTGGAGATAACGACAAAGCTCTTGACACAATTTGTTCACTAATGCATGAAAGTCAATTTACTTTGGTTACAGGTTGTGATTCGGTGAAAGCTGCATGGGAAATTCTCGAAACCACCTACGAAGGAACGAATTTTGTAAAGTAATCAAAATTACAACTTGTTCAATCTGACTTTGAGGAACTATGAATGAACGAGGATGAGACCATTGTTAGTTTTTATGAGCATGTTCAAGAATTTACAAATAGAGCAATCATGCTTGGAGAACCTTTCTCTCAATCGGAGCTGGTCAAGAAAATTCTAAGGTCATTACCACATCGATTCAGGATGAAGGTAACTACTATCCAAAAACATAAAGGTTGGAAAATTATTTACAATTTGTCTTCACAGTGCAACGTAGAACGTGGCACTCCTTTTCAAGATTCGAATGAGAAGAGGTGATGGGAGAGTATGGCTACGTGGTCAGCGCCGACAACCAATTCATCATCAATCTTATCCTTAAAATTTTTGTAATAAATAAAAGGCTTAACAAAAGATAAAGTAGGTCCATTCCTATGTTGTAGTTGTTTGTATGTGTTTAAGAATTAGATGTTAAGGAGAAAGGAAAGATTAAGATTAAAAGCATGCATTTAGTTTGTTTGGTCATTATAAAAGTACACTAGAAACAAAACAAAATAGACGCAACAGGCGTATGCAAATAGTATACAAGAGATGACTTATTTAAGTACGAACCTACCCTGCCTTATTCATTCCTCACTCTCTACCTTCCCCATCATCACATGACCTTCTGGATGCTGGAAACAATAAATTAAGGGTTATTAAAAAAAAAAAAAAAAAAGAAAAAAAAAAAAAAGGAAAGGTTGTCACATTTATATATAGGTAAGGAAATATGAGGTACAGAAAATTGAGAGAAAGCATGCAGATAATTATTGATTGCAGAGAAATTGAAAAGAATTCAAATAGCATGAAATGTGAAACGGTCAGAGATATAATGAAGGCAAGGATAGAAAGAGACCTGAATATATTTCTAGAACGAACAAGGAGGGCTTCATTTCCATAGCTACGATGCTCATCTTGAATAAGCTTCGCAGAAGTCAAAACGGAATCCCAGCAGTATTTTAATTGAATCAATTCAAGTGTGGTAATATCAGCAAACGTAATAGGGATCTCTCGCAACAAACGGCAATCACTTAACTCTAAATGTTGAAGCACAGGGAAATGATCACCCACAGCATTCCAATCTTGGAAACATATGCTTTCAATTACCAACTTTTTCAATTGACGGAACCCTCCCTCAGATGTCTCCCACTCTCTGTCTTGGCAAGCATGTATTAATTTTAGAATTTCTAGATTCGGCAACATACAAATAAGCCTCATATCACTCCATGCCAACCTAGTTCGGAAGAATTTGAGCTTCTTAAGATTTGGTAGAAAACTAGTTGCCCATGGAATGCCACTATTAGGAAGTTTGAGATGCCACTCTTTGATGCTTAGTTTCTCAAGCTGACTCAAGTGCACAAAATTATAGAAACCATCTGAATTTTCATTTTCAAAATTCATTTTACCTTGAATCCCGAGTTCTTTTAAATTTGGAATCCTTGTAAAAAGATCCTCTGTACAACACTTTGGACGCAACCAAGATATAGTCTCTATGATTCTATGAACAACCTCCAAAGCCTCTAATGTAAAAGGAATTATGTCGGCATAAAAATTCTTTAATAGCGGCATTTTCCAAATTCCAGATGCCTCAGAGGAATCCAATATAACACTACATCCACGGACAATAAAAGTTTGCATATTCCAATGCTCAAAGAGCTTTAGTTTAAGAGGGCCTACTCTTTCACTTAGGGACAAAGCTAAGTATCTCAAGTGAACAAGATTTACCATATATAACATCTTATCTTCAAAGTTCCAGAGTTCAAGTTTCATGTCTACTACTCTTAATAGTTTGAAGTGACAAAGAACCTTAATGCTGAAATCAATAATACGACCAACAGAGTGTAAGGAATGGAATTTGTCAAATCCCATAGATTTAATTTGAATATTGTAACATTCAGGTTTAATACTTATCCAAGGACAAGCAACAGCACCATGATCATCATTTCCAATGACATACAAGAGATTTTCACATCGAGCTTCTCTTAAGCACAAGTCTCGCAAGAGATCATGCATCCTAATTGTCTTGATTTTGCCATCATAACTCTGTTTACCAACAAGAACAAGACTTCTATCAACAAGATCTTGCAAGCATTCCATGGCCACTTCCTCCAAATTCTTATTGTTCACTGCCCCGAAAAATCCCTCTGCTACCCACAACTTAACTAACTTTTTTACAGTGATTTCATAATCTTCTGGAAAAACTCCAAAATATAGAAAGCAAGCTTTAGACGGGTGTGGTAATTGGTTGTAACTCAAAGATAGTACACTTGAGCATGCTTCATTAGAATCACCAATTACACTTTCTGCAACATTCTTCCACTTTTGCACATTCTCCTCTGTCTTGGAGAGAAGACTAGCCACTAAAGTAATAGCTAGAGGCAATCCTTTACATTTCTTCACTATGTCTCTACCAATTTGCTCAAACACCAAAAGAAATTCCGTTTTACCAAACACACTGCAGTAGAGATTCCAACTTTCAGTGGCATCTAAGAAAGGCATGTTAATCATAGAGTTACCGAAACTTGCAGCATATTCAGCCACCTCTCTGAGCCGAGAAGTCAGTAGTATACGGCTTCCATTATTATCATCTGGAAAGCACCTTTGCACACTATCCCAAGCTTCTTTGCTCCATATATCATCTATCACTATCAAGTATCTCTGATCTTTCAAGCGTTTACGTAGTGTTTCTGCTAATCTGCCTTGGTCATTGCTACTTTGTTTATCACTTGATTCACTAACACAACCAATAAGGCATCCGAGCATTTTCCCCACGGTATACTCTTGGGATATAGTAACCCATGCTTGCTTGTAAAAATGAGAAGTAATTGATGGATCCTTGTAGACTTTCTCAGCTAAAGTGGTCTTGCCTATTCCTCCCATGCCAACGATTGATACAACTTGGAGCTGCTCAGCTGATTGTTGCGTGAGCTTATCCAATATCGTCTTGAATAACTTGTCGCATCCAACCATTCTATTTTCAAACTTTGAAGCGCTTTTGGAAAATTTACTCACAGTAATATTATTCTCGCGTTCTGGATCAGCAGGCTGCAATGATGTTGAACCGAGTAGTCCTCCTTGTCGCATCCGACCAAGGAGTGAAACGCCAGTTATTGATGGACCCTTTGCAATCTGCTTTTCAGTTTTAATCTTAATAAACTTCTTCTTGAGGTAATTAGTCTGTTTTACTGCTTGAGTGAAGATTCCATGAAGCCTGAGGAGGCAAGCCTCTATACTGCTTGGTTGAAGATATATGCTACTCAATTCCACCTCAATTCTTTCTTCAGCTTCGAACGCTACATCTCTCATCTGTGCCTCTAAATCTTTCATCGCCGAATTATTATAGGCGATATCAGATTTCTCAAGAATTTCTTGGAGGAAACCAAGATTTTCATGGAGAGAATTAACTATCTCTTGGTTGTCTTGAAGAGGCAAGCGTGGTTGTGATTGCAAGAAATGTAGATGGAGTGTTCCTTTAAGCGAAGTTACAGCAGCATAAGCCATTTGCCTCTGTCTATGTGGTAGCTGATCAGAGCAGAACAAAGAAGAAATGAAAGATGTGATGCAATTTACACAACCATGATTTTAAAATTATATTTTCAAAATAGGAACAACTAATCAGGTTAATGTTTTAAAAATTCGGTTTAATTTTTTAAAAATGTAAGTAGGGATTGTAGATCAGGTTCATGAATACAAGTGAATTAGGCTGAGCTTGGAAATAGGAAAAATAATTTTTTGAAAAATATTTTATTCTTTACAAGGTAGTATGTGTTCTATACTTTCTAAAACATTTGTATTTCAAAGAATCTAAGCCTCTATCACCGGAGTTCGAACCTATGACCACCAATTTGGAATGGTAACCGAGATGTCATCACACAACATGGTAGTTGGCAATTATTTTTTATTTAGTTAAAAGTAAAAAAATTATAATTTTTCTATTTGATTAATTTTTTACAAACATGAGGATAACCCTATTACATGGTAGTTGGCAATTATTTTTTATTTAGTTAAAAGTAAAAAAATTATAATTTTTCTATTTGATTAATTTTTTACAAACATGAGGATAACCCTATTACAAAGTTATTTCTTATAAAATATAAATTATTTTAATGATGATAATAATTATTATTTATATTAAAAACATAATTATAAAGTAAACTTTATAATAGTTAAAATGTAAATAAATAATTTTAATTTATAATTTATTATAACTAACAAAAAAAAATATATAAATTATTAGCTAAGATTTTATTATAGATGCTTCTATGATTCCAATTGCATAAAAAGAGTATGTATTGAATTAACTAAGACTCTTGTTGTGAGAAGATTGACTTTGTGAGTTTTATGTGTTTGATAAATTGTTCCAATTAGAATTGAATCGCCATAAGAGTATGATTCTTTGCTAATTGAAGTTTGTAGCTCTTCGTATAAATAAGAACAGGAAAGAAGAAGAAGACCAAGAAGATTACCTAAATTAAAGCAGCACTAAGAAATCCCAGTAGCCTCTCTTCACCCTATCACCACAACCAGATAGCTAAGCTCTACTTCTTCTTCTTCTTCTTCTTCTTCTCCTTCTTCAATTCCTCCTTGCTTAGCTTGTTGGTGCTAAGGATTTAGTTGTTCGAACATTTGATATGAGTTGGTATCAAATACCCGGCATGTTGAGAGAGAATTGAGGTAGGTGCAATATAATAAGAATAGGGATCAACTTTTCTATGTATGATTTGGAAGAAGCTACTAAGCTAGTGAGGCTAAATACCTCATTATTATATATATTATGCCCATCTTGTGCATACCTCAAATTCATTAACTTAATACTTAATTTTTGTTTCATTAGCAAAAAAACAAAAAGCACATGGTTGGGGCAATTTTCTTCCGGCATGCAGCAGAGCGTAGTGGCTAATTAATATAATTCAATTTCCATCTCTCAGCTCCTCATGTGTGATTAAGGCAGCGCAAGTGGAGTACTTCAATATAGTAGATTTCAAGAGCGAAAGCATTATATTTTTAATTGCAAAATGACAGCATTATATTGACTTTTAATTTAGTACTTCATATTAAAATTTATGTGGCTTTCTGCAACTTGTAACACTAATTGCCAGAAATATGAAATTAAATATTAGAGAAAGATAATGACAACGTGAGACGGAATTGTTTAATGTTAATTGCGAATTTTACAGCACAAATTTTTCTCTTTTTTGCCTCTCTATTTTGTGTGTATCGAAGTCAACTCCAGCTTGATCCAAAATAGAAATAGCTAATTACGTTATTGTTTCAAAAATTCACTTTATAAAAATTAAGTAGGGATTGTAGATTAGGTTCATGAATACAAGTGAATTAGGCTCAGCTTGGAAATATGAAAAATAGTTTTTAGAAAATAATTAATATTTTAAAAAATATTTCCATTTGTTAGTGTTTGGATGAAAGTTAGAAATCAATCTGTTCTATATTGATCACCAATTTGAAATGGTAATCGGGATGTCATCGATCACACATGATAGTCAATTTTTTTTTTTTAGTTAAAAGCAAAAATATTATATGTTTTCTATTTGATTCATTTTTTTTAAACATGAGCATAACTCTATTACAAAGCTATTTCTTATAAAATATAAATTATTTTAATCATGATAATAATTATTATTATATTAAAATAAAATTGTAAAGTAAACTTTATAATAGTTGTAAACATTAATAATAATTATAATAAAAATATGAATAAATAATTTTAACTTAAAATTTATTATAACAAAAATAAATATATAAATTGATCAATATAATTGCTTTGAAGTTAAAAAAAAAATGAAGAAAAAATGTACTTTATTATTATTATTATCTTTTTTTCGTAGTGTGCGCCAAGTCAGTCAATAATTTTTTTTTGGCTTGGCTTGGCCTGACCAGTCATTGATAAATGCAATAACGTACTCTAAACTAAAAATATTAAAGAAAAAGTATTTTTTTGGATTTTGGATCGGGTTAAATTTTTATTGTTTGTTACAGCTTTACTCAATACATAGTTTAAATGGTCATTGACAAATATAATAAGTTTAAACTAAAGAAATTGAAAAAAAAAAAAAAAAAACGTAAATGCCTTTTTCTAAAAAAAAAAAAAATGTGGTCTATGGGGAAGGTCGGGTTAAGATTTTTATTGTTTAGCTCAATCTAACCAAACCCATATTTTAACGGAACTCGCCTAGTTCAGTTAAAATAATAACTAGACAGCGGCCCAACCCACCCATTTGACACTTCTCACAGGCAGGGTTGGTCCTATCATTTTATAGGCTCAAGGCAAAGTAAAAAAAAAAAAAAACTAGTAATTAATGAAGACTAGTAATCAAGACCCTTTAAAAAAAAAAAAAAAAAAAAAAAAAAAAAAAAAAAACTAGTAATTAATGAAGACTAGCAATCAAGACCCTTTAAAAAAAAAAAAACTAGTAATCAAGACCCTTAATATATAAAGTTAAAACTAGTAAGCTACCCGTGCGATGCACGGATTAGAATTTTAGAATTAATAAACTTATGTTTGTTGTATTGTTGGATAACTATTTTTTTTTTTTTATGTGGATATTAAAATTCCTATAGGATTTCAAATTTGCGATTTAAACATACTTAAAAGTAATAAGCGTTAGTGATATAAAATGACAAATTATTTTAAATTACAAATTATTAAAGATCTCTTTGTACAGTACATTGGTGATTGAATTACAATGATTGCCTAACTCATTACAAATCAAAATTTTAATTAGTCCATTTGAAGTTCTGAATGTAATACTAATCATCTATATTAATGGAATCTGTATTCAAGCACGACTTTAACTTACAATTATACTCGAATTAAAAAGACAATCGTTATACCCTACACCACGGCGCGCGTAGCACTGTGCGTCGCGCACCTCGCAAAACGACGTCATTTTGGGGTCGTTTTGGGAGGCGCGGTAGGAAGTTGCTGTGATTATGTGTATTTGTTCACACAATTATGTATATTTGTTCATACAGTTATGTACATTTTTTATACAATTATGTACATTCTTTTTATACAATTATGTACATCCGAATTAGAAAATTTGTGTGTATTATGTTAAGAGTTGATGTGTATTATGTTAAAAGTTTATGTTTATTATGTATTATGTTAGATTATGTGTATTATCTTTTAAAAAGAGTATGTATATTTTGTTATATAATTATGTACATTCATGTATACAATTATGTGTATTCTAGTATAACATTATGTACATTTTTGAACAGCGGGTTTTTTTTAAAGAAAAAATTACTGCCATTCACTGGGGCTGGAATTTTCAAATAAAAAAAAAAAAAAATTAAAACGACGTCGTTTTGCATCTGGGCGCACAATGCAACGCGCACCGTAGTGTAGGATATAAATTGCCTTAAAAAGAAGCCACAATTTGGCTATCAATAAAAAATCATGGAATAAGGGTCAAATAAGCCACTGAACTGCACACAAAAATGCAATTAGGCCACTGAACCTAAAAAAACCTACAATTGAGCCCCTAAACTAACCAATCTCATTCAATTTGTCTATTTTTCAGGTTTCTCAAGTTGCTAACAAGTTACCCTTCCACCTAAGATGCTTATGTGGCATTTTTTAAAAAATAATTTATTTTTAAATTAGTTTTTTTAATGTTTAATAAATAAAAATTAAAATAAATTATTTTTAAATTAGTCTTTTAATGCTTAATAAATAAAAACTAAAATAATTTTTTTTTTTTTAATAAATAAAATAATTTGTATTTGTTTAAAGTTCGCAAATCACCAAATACAAACTAATTATTTTAAAATTCAAAAATTACCAAATCACGATAGTTTCAATTAAATAAGTTGTTATTTGTTTTAATATTTGTTCCTGGCCACGAATCCACGATGCAGTAATTGAAAAAGTGAAATATATTATGCATATCTAATTTGAAGTTGACTGTGATGAAGTCTGCAAGAAGTCTTACTGCGATTAATCTCTTTGATCTAAACAAGTAATTCGATTGTTTAATAGGAAACAAATTAGTAAATTAAATTATTTTAATTTTTATTTATTAAACATTAAAAAACTAAATTTTTAATAGGAAACAAATTAGTAAATTAAATAATTATTTTAATTTTTATTTATTAAACATTAAAAAAAAACTAATTTAAAAATAAATTATTTTTAAAGAAATACCACATATGCATCCTAGGTAGAGGGGTAACTTGTTAGCAACTTGAGAAACCTGAAAATTTGACATATTGAATGAAATTGATTAGTTTAGGGACCCAATTGTAGATTTTTTAGGTTCGGTGGCCTAATTGCATTCTCATGTGCAGTTCAGTGGCCTATTTGACCCTTATTCCAAAAATCATTTATAATAGGCCTACAATTTGGCTGTCCATGAGGTCCACGTTTAATTTGGCAGATTAATCATCAAGGGATATATATGCTCATTTCCATACCTACACCTTGAGGGCAAAGTGTGTTTTTTAAGGGGTACCCGTGGAGAGTGATATACCCTTAATTATAC